TGCCACTGTGTCCTTCTCAGCCCTCCCAGGGCTCTGGCTGATTAACATGGGCCCAGAACAGTCGGTTAGAGCTCAGCCCTGTCATCCAAGCCCACGTATGGGCCAAGAGGTGAAACACCACGAGAAATGCTCAGCCTGTTACAACCCTGGGCTTGCATGACCAGTTCTGGTCCAGCGCTGCTGGCGTTTTGTGCCAGCACACTAGGGCTGGTGCTGCTGCCAGCCGTGCTCACCGATGGCCTGGAAGTGCTGGAGGGCATGCTGGGCAGGCCCGTGGTACAGCACCCTGCCAGCAGCCAGCAGCGTCAGGTTGTCAAAGAGCCGGAAGATGGAGTACCGGGGCTGGTGGATGGAGAAGATGATGGTTCTCCCTTGTCCTGCCATCCTGAGTGTGAAGTAAAGAAGGACAGAGACGTGAGCTTTGCAAGTCGATTCACCATTTAAATAAGAGAATTTGCAAGTTCAGTTAAGCCTTGGTTAAGTTTTATTAAATTGCCGTGCCAGAGGGGGAGAAATTAGGTCATATTTATAGTGTCTGTGTGAGAAAAGAAAGTTCCCTCTTACTGGGAATGTTGTTGGATGGAAAATCCTGGGAAGGTCTTGATGCAAACATAAAGCTCTGAAGAGTCTTCTTTTCTTGTAGTAAATTCAAAATTATGTAAAATTTGCAAACAGAGAGTGTGTTGTGCTTCCCAAAGATGGGCCTGAGATGTTGTGTCAGGGAAACAGCTACCTGTGTCCTGACTACTGTCCATATTAGATGGATCACCTCACCAGACTATACAAGAGGAATTTGTTGCTTCTCTGGCCCGGGCAGACACAAAAATAAATGAAGCTGTCACGGACCAGCTGCAGTCCCAGCGTGTGCATGCTTCCTGCAGAGCACTGTGTGCTGCCCTGAGCAGCTGCTTTGGAGTGAGAGGACTCGTGCCGCCTGTTCCCTGCCCCCTTCACAGCCTGGGCTCTGGGCAAACTGTGCCCTATCTGATTTCCCTGCTTGCTCCTTCTGACTGCAGCCCAAGTCAAAGGGAACTGACACGTAGCAGACTGAGTGGTGGAAGCTGGAAGGTGTTTCCAGTGCTGTCACCTTTTCAGTAGCAGCAGGACAGCGTTGGCAGTGCTGGCGTCCAGCCCGGTAGTTGGCTCGTCCAAGAACAGGATGGCAGGATCTGTGATGAGCTCCATCCCAATGTTGGTCCTTTTCCGCTCCCCTCCGGACACTCCGCGTGTGAACTGGGTCCCAACCTGCCACAAAGCAAGAAACCTGTCTGGTTTGGGCTGCAAACAGGAACCTGAGTGAACAGGATCCTGCTGACAGGGCAGCGTTTGGGAAGAGGTGTAAGGAATTCCGACCCTGCTCTCAAGTGCAGCTGTAGATGCTGCCTCACACGTGGGCTGTTTCTCAGTGTTAGTGTTATCTGAGGGGCTCTCTTTTTCTCCAGCCAGACTGCCTCTGCCCCTCCCTGCAGTGCAGGAGCACGTGGCAGTGTCCCTGCAGAGTCTGTACAGATCCCTGTGCAGAAATGTTAGCGATTATTGTGTTACTCAAATAGCTTAACTTTACGTATTTTTTTTGTCTGCCATGCTGAACCATGTGGTTAATTAAATAAATCACTTCATTTCTTCATGATTTAAGCATCATATTTACACGCCTTACCTTGGAATCTGCCACCTTGCTCAAGCCCAGCTCCTTGATGATCTGATTCACTCGTTCATTTTTCTCCTGTTCCGTCACTGACTTGGGCAAACGGAGTGCTGCTGAGAACTTCAAATTTTCTCTTACAGTCAGGGTTCCCATCACCACATCATCCTTCAGGGAAAAAAAAAAAGGTAGATACTTGGTGGTTGCTTGCAACCTCTATTTGTTTCTCTGAGAATTATATCTGCCTGTGTTTTGTGTTGTCCTCGTGTGCAGAGGGACAGCAGCACCCGCCAGAACATGCAGTGAGGTGCATCTTCAGGGCCTGTGTCGTAGCAAAGAGCTGATTTCATGCACAAAATTATATTTGCCTTTATTCATAAAGCAACAAAGTACAGGAAAATATCCGTTGTGCATGATATCAAAACTATCCCTCCTGTATTGGTGCCTTACTCAGGCGTGTGGAGGTGCTGAGCGAGATACTGAAGGGCTCAAGGACCCTCAGGAGCCACTCAGGTGAGGTTGCTCTCACTGTGGATTTGTTAGTGCAGCCTCAGCCCGCTGCAGGTCCAAGCAGGGGGAAGAGGAGGAAGGGAAGGAGCAGTGTGGGCTCACGTCTGGTAGGGTGAAGTCTGTCCCAGCTTGTTTCAGCAGAGGAGGAGGGAGGGAGGGCTTTTAGGTGTTATCTGCTTATCTCTTGCAAAAGGAGTCTGCCAGATGTGGGAAGTTCAGGGAGTTACGTGTGTTTTGAGAGACTACCTTTCTGTAAGAGGACTGCACTTTTATAAGGGGCTTTCACAGCTGCACCTCTGCAGGGCCTGAGGAGCTGCAGGCATGCTGCCAAGCACAGCAGTGGGGAGGGGAAGGAATGAAAAGAGGGATGTGGCTTTCCTTCCTTTGGCCTTCCTATGCCTTTGTCCACAGCCCACCTTGGCAGAGTAAAGGTCTTCTCATAATGGGCCTTAGTGACATTGCCCTGGGCAAGTGGAGCTACAGGCTGCATATTACCAGACAAGGGCACACTTGGGAAACATTCCGTTCATACTGGTCCCCTCCAGCTGCTCTCCCAGATGCAGAACAAGGAGGGACCCAAAGCACCCACTCCCATTGAATGCAGAGCATTAAGGAGAGAGACTTAAATACACAGCAGAGTCTCTCTCTCAGTGAGGGAAGGCATGGGGAGGGTTGCTGCTGCACCAGCCTCCATTCTTGGAGCAATGCAAGGTCCTTACAACACTGCAGCAACTCCCAGCTGCCGTCAGAAGGGGACAATAAAACCACAGAGTGATAGAAGTGACTCACCTGAACCACGTACCCAGAGGTACATTTAAAGTTGGCAGGCTGAGGAGCTCCATTGATCAAAATGTCACCAGAAAGCCCATGGGGATCCTTCCTGGCAGCCAGAATGTCAAGTAGACTAGGAGAAAATGTGTTTATTTGTGAGCTGAGAGTGCAGGAGGTGAGCTCTCTGAACTACAAACCTAATTCATGGAACAAGCAGCTACATAAAAGCCTCCTGTGTTAAACATTTGCTGTTTAGAAAATAGCAGCTTTCAAGGCCTTAGTTTCTTCTGTCCTTGTTTCCTAAGGAAATGAGAGCTGCAATTTCCCAGTGCATTGTGTCTGTTTGTTCAATAATATGAGCTTAACCTAGGAATATACATCAAGATTGTGTATCAGGAGTGGACTAAAGTGTGAACTAAAACTGTATTACATCTTCACTGTCAGCTGACTGTCTTTTTTGAATGCAGGTATTTATCAGAGACCAGTGGGATCTGCACAGACCTAACTGGAACAAAACCTTTCCCTGAAAGTACTGTCCATTACTGCTAAATACGTGGAGGGTCTTCTTCACCTCCGTGGAATTTCTGGGCAGGACTAAGAGGGCACTTACGAAGATTTCCCGCTGCCAGTGGGTCCCAAAATTGCATTCAGCCCTGGTCTCATGATGCCACTGTAAGACAAAACAGATAGATAGGTTTTACAGGACAAGCTGGGTTCATAGGTTTTACAAAACAGATAGGTTGGATTTCTCTCTTGGTGTTTCATCTGTTGACGTGGGTTTATAGGTTTTACAAAACAGATAGATTGGATTTCTCTCTTGCTGTTTCATCTGTTGACGAGTGTAAATGATCTGTAGAACTACCTTCTACATCCTGTTAATTTTGGAATTAATGAAGCTGCCTGATCACAAATAATATTTCTGATCAGTGAAATGCCACCTTAATTTTTATTCCAAACTCAAGAAGAACTGATCTTCATATAGTGAAGATAACACAGAAACCAGAATTAAATGTAGCAAAACCTGTATGTGTGGTTTCCTCTCTGCATCTCTAGAAGTGAAGCACACACTCGCTTTAAGCACATTGAGTTTAAAGGTATTATTCTCTTAGCAGAGAGAATAATGGTCCCTGCAAACAGAACAGACTAGGGGTTTGTCTGTACTTACAGGACCAGATGAGATCCACCCGAGGGTACTGCAGTTGGCAGTTTCTTTTTTACCTGATTTTAACACATTGAGTTTAAAGGTATTATTCTCTTAGCAGAGAGAATAATGGTCCCTGCAAACAGAACAGACCAGGGGTTTGTCTGTACTTACAGGAGCTGCAGTTGGCAGTTTCTTTTTTACTTGATTTTAAGCCACAAAAGCCGGGATAGAAAAGCTTTTAAGTATTTGGGGAAAAGACCCTGTAGAAATGATACAGTGCATGGAAATGCTGCTGCCTGGAGCATGTGAAGGCATCTCTGCTCTTTTTCCTGACTAGTCCCTAAAATCTGCACTCAGGAAGCTTTGTTGTGCACGAGAGTGACGCTGCACACACAAAAGCCTGTCTGTCTGTTGTGATACCAGGTTTATCTTCAACCACACTCCAGGACTGGTTATCAGCAGTGCAGGTACACGTGAGCCGAGTACTTGGCTGTGGGTCTGGCCCAGTACAAAAAATCAATATGTAATAAAACAAATAGAGCTGTTGCATTTTCTTAAAGGGAAAAGCAAACTGTGTGTTAAATGTTGGTCTTTACACTAAGCCACAAGAGGGGCCTTCTGCTCACAGCACTGCAGCTCACCTGGGTCAGTCACCTGAGCTGCTGTCATGTACAGCTCCTGAGGAGAGCAAGGAAGAGCTTCCAAGCTCGTGTTTCGAGGTGTGGAGGGTGCCTGGGCAGGAGCAGGACAGGCAGAGCTGCACGAGGGGTGACTCTGGCAGCGGCTGGAGCTGAGGGGCTGCAGCCAAGTGTGACTGGAAGGCATGCTGAGTGAGGGCTGCCACCTAGCTCAGGCCTTCACGCAGATTATTGAACAAGGGCAGCAGTGGTGTAAGTCCTTTACTGCAGGAGTGCTCAGTGTGGAGGGGAAGAAAGGTCAAACTCCACATGTCTTCCGAGTTAACCTAACCCTTCTTTATGTTACTTTCAAAACCATTTTAAGTTAAACCCCCCAAAATCAGCCTTCCCAAAGGCCGCCGCGGGGAGACGCAGGGATCGAGGGCAGTGGTGGCTCCTCAGGGGACGCCGTGGGGCAGTGGAGATGTGCCCACCAGTGAGGGCAGCCACGGCTGGTGCCTGTGCCCCGTGGGACCCGTGGGGCAGGGACACGGCACCCACAGCACGAGCACTGCTGGCTGAGCACCACGGGGCCCCACGGAGAGCTGGAGCACCGCGGGCAGCACACACCAAACCTACCTACAGAGCAGCTCTCCAGCCTGAGCCAGCCTGGGGGCTGTGCCTGGCGCCCCAGTGCTGTGAGGAGACTCGGCTGTCCGCACACAAACCGAACACGCCTCAAAGACACGCTCAGATACGTACTTGACATCTCTCAGAACCTCCTTGTCAGCTGTTTTTTTCCAGCACAGGAACCCCGTCTTCACGGTGACGCGGTAGCAGATGTTGTGGAAGGTGAGGACGCTGCCGCCCCGGGCTGGGTCGGGGAGGGCCTGTCCTCTGCTGGGCACCCCGTTGGTGTCCCCGTCCGGCACCCCCACGGCCACGCTGAGCTGTGGCTGGCCGCCCGCCATGGCCCCTCTGGAACTGGAGGAACGGGAGGATGTCGTTAGGGGTGGGGAGGGAAGGTGCCTCCGCTGGGTTCAGTGTTCAGCACTGCACCTCCTGTGGGCCTTGCAAACATCCACCGAGGCTTCTCTCTCTCAGATGGGAACTCTGGATCCTGTGGCTCAGACCTTGAACTAGAAGCAAGTGATGGAGATGAGAATAATCCCCTCATAATCCA